TGAGGATTTCAAGTGTAATAAGGAGGAAGTCTTTTTGTGATATGCCTACACAGATAGGCACAATGTCTCCTGTTTTCCTGCAGAGACCCTGACTTGTTGTGAGGCCAGATATTCCAGCAGAACCTCTTGCTCGCACCCAGCTGCCTTTCTCTGCCCATGCCCTGAGCTGCTAAAGAGCAACAAGGGTCTGTTTTAGAAGCACTATTTCTAGGCTGCTGTGTCCTTCTAACAAGGCTATGTAAATTGGTTGCTCATGTCCAGTAAGATAACACCACAGAACAGTGTGGGTCTGTCTATAACTGTCCATGAGCATAAGCCCTCCTACTGGACCTTATCTTGGTTATTTTCCTGAAGGCAGTTTCCCATTTGTTTTGAACGCTAGCCTGCGTTTCTTAGGACCTACCTCTAATGTGAAAATGGAAACTCTGGATATCCTGAAAAAATTGGCTTCGTTACTAAATTAAATGTTTCTTAATGAATTGCTGGGCCATAAAATGTGAAAATAAAATCATCAAAGGACCCTCTGGGATGGCTAGTAGCTTAGCTGTTTCCATGCAGAAAGGAGCCTATATTGGTTCAGCGTATCTATATCAGTTTAGCAGTATCCATTACTAGGGAGGCTGTGATCATGCCAGCCTTAGAGCTTCTTCTGTTGACAAAGGCATTCATGCTCACACCATCTTGCTTAGACCTTATTACCATGAGCAGTCATCCACAGCATGCTAGACTCGCAAAATGTGAAGGTATTTCCTCAGGTCTTGTGCTCTGCTAAATACAACCTAGAAATTGTTGGCAGATACTAAGTATGGCAAGAAAGATAAACTAGAATAAGTGTCAGGAATGGAAAATTTGGACATTCTGACACTTCTGTACGGATAGCAAGTCTAAAACTCATTAAAACTTTGCCACAGAACAATAGAACAAGTTATTATTTCTCACCTAGAAGAGCTGGAGTCTTAATTTCAGAAAAGATGGGTCTTGCATGAGTAATTACTTTTTTTTTTTTTTTTCCTTCTCAGGCACAGAGGCGTATACCCGGTAGAACGTGGATATTTTTTCTTGCCTAAACATGACTAACAGTTACAGAAAAAGCAACTGTATTTGAACGCAACCAGAAAGCCAAATTCATGTGTCCAAGCCTGCCTGGCACCTTGATCGAAATTCAGAGCTACTGAGAGATTCACCTGTGCCAGCTGGTGTATCTGACTGCCTAATGAAATATGATCACAGTACAAAGGCTTCTAGAGTCGAGTCCTTAACAGCATTTTAATAAGGTAGCAAATACATTTCATATATTCTAACTCAGTATAGTGGTTGGGCAGATTTGCAGTTGCTTATAATAATTTTGAACATCATATTCTGATACCCGCTTAAGACAATAATGGACTAAATTGTCCAAGCTATTAGGAAAAAAGCAGGAAGGCAAGGTATTGTCTAAAGAGATGATATCCCTTGACCTCTTGAAAGAGCTTTACAAAACATTTAGATGCAGTAGTAAGGTCTTTTACTTTCGTTGTTTGGTTCAGCCATTGGGAAGTGTGCCAGTTTGATTTTAGGCTCTAAATCCAAGCTAGGGTGAGCAAACATTTTACGTCTAGCTGGATTGAAACGTGGTAAGAAATAAGAGAAGAATTAAGGGAACAAACTTACACATTGGCAGTGCTTCCCTCCCTTAACGACTTCGTGGTAAGACAGTCATACCTACAATGTGAAGTAAATTAGGCATTAACAAAATATCCTATTAAATTCCGATATTTTAATCAAGCTGTTTTGGATCGTTGTGCTGGCTAACCAAAGGATGCTGGGGAGGGGGGGGGGGCGTAATGCCTATGTCTGAACCCTATGGCACCTGCAAAGGAGGCAATGTTGAGACCGATGACTGTGGTTCAGGACACGCTCTGTGCATTAGATAATCATCTCTAAAGTGGGAGATTTTATGACACAAAACCTAATGTCTGTGTGCTAAGACACTCAGAGCTTATTTCACTGTCTCTATCTGATACAAGACCCCACAGAAATGAAAAAGCCTTTTCCAATCAAAAGGGTGTGTTTCTTATAATTCTTAAAAGAAAAAATGGAATTTTTGTTCTTCTCAAGAGGATTATATCATTCCGCAGTTCTAAATATAAGCTTGCCTGTGTGTTTTGCTTTTTTAGTCAAACCACACTGCTGTTGTCAAAGCTGTCCAATTTTCGATGACTACAGAGAAAACATTGCAGAACTGAGAATCTGATTTGGGAATACTATGGTAGTGGTGTTCTGACAGTGTTTCAACAAGGGGATCCACAAAATAGTTCTTTTTTAGCAGCAGTGAAACCTCTAGGGAAACTTGTGGGTATATGTTTGCAAAGATGAGAGATAAAGGTTGAGATTCATGGTAAGAAAACAGTGGAATATGAAATATGTTTATGGTATGTTTGTGATTGATTCTATCATTGCTCAGGTGTTAAAAAAAAAAAATCAAGCAACTTCTGACACAGTGCAACATAATGGTTGTGAAAGCAAATAAGGGTGGATTTTTCTTTCCGGAAAATTTTCATTAACCCAAAGGATAAATCATCTGTGAATCGGTAGTAGATATTTAGGGAGAACCCCCTGCCACGTAGTACTCCATCACATTCAGAACAAGCCCTCACAGATGAAAAATAGTAAAATCAAAGATTCTGCAAAAACTTTGTATTCACGAGACATGGTCTTATGTCTAAACCACTGAGATATAACTCAAGACAAAGGTGTAAAGCTAAAATTTCTTTATCCAGGATCCGGGCTGCTCCAGAGGCATGTGTGTGACCTGTTGTAGGAGCAATCCTCCAGCCAAATCCTAGTTGGCTGCTCCCAGCCTGAATGGGGCCAGCTGCCCAGAACAGCCAGCATGCACAGTACTCCAACCGTTTTCTTTCCACCTCAAAATACCTGCCCTTCTTTCAACCGTTCCCCCAGGGCCACTGTTTTGGAAAGAAAGTTGTATTTGTTCTGTCCATGCACCATCCTATGTAATGAGGATGTTCCTTGGCGGAAGGGCAAAATGCTGCTTTTGCTTAAGCCTTTGACTTGCTGCCAGTAAGGCACAGCAGCCCAGAGTCACTGCTTTGAGAAACTGTTAAGACTATATCTTGCTCATGTATTTAGCATTAAGCCAATAAATGGGATGAGGCTCAGGGAGAACTCAGTCAGACTTGCAAAGGACTGGGAGAGGTTTTTTTTGCCTTTCTCTGGCAGCAGGAGTTTGTTCGTTTGTTCTTTCTTTGTTTCTTTCTTTTTTCTTTCCTTTCTCTGCTCTCCTGTCTTGCTTTCTTACTGTGAGATACTGTGGTCCTGTAATCTTCCATTTTAAAGGTAATCAGAGCAGTGTTTCACAGCTTGGGAAGGGGCTGTTCAGGGGAAGCTCTGAAATAAGTGTCTCTTGCCTGATTGTGACAGTGGGAGATCACTATTGATCTTGATGGATGATCCAGGTATCTCTTCTAACTTCTTTTTTCCACTGGGTAATACAGAGAGATGTGAAGAAATTCACGTTGTAAATTTCATTGTGGTTTTCGTTGTTCCTCAGTGCAAAAAATATGGGCATATGAACTCTTTGGCCATTGCCGAAACTCATGATCTTTCTTTTCAAAGTGCCAGCTACCTTTTTTTTTTAAACTTGAATTTTCCAGTTAAGAATATTATATTCACAGACACACGTGGAAAATGAAAGAGGAAGAAAGGAAATTGCCCCAGTGAGTTTCCCCATTTCACACACCTAGCAGTCTTGTAGGAGGACTACAGAGTCCTCGAGGTCACGTGATTGAGGCCACCAGGGACATTTTCCACCCTCCTGTGAGATATGAAGTCCAGTATGTAAAGATTACATTGCTTTCTTACTTGAAATACTCCATTCTTTAATTACTTTGATTTTCTTATTATCGAAGCAAAAGTTTGAATGCTTATGAAGACACACAGATAGTCCTGGAAATGAAGGGTCACAGGCTCAGAACATGTCGAACAAGCTGCAGCATTTCAAGTCACTGCATGCTCCCAAGCACTATGCTTTCCTCGTGGCTGTGAAGAGAGGAGCTCATCTTTGTAGATATTCAGGCACTGACTTCATCCCTGTAAATTCTGTGTTCGCTGAGATGTAGGAATGGGCTGCAAAGGAGCATCGGGGTCCTAGGACGTGCCCCTCCGTGGCAGAGAGGCTCAGCGGAATTAGGACAGCTGCAAGACATGCCATGCTGTCTGCTCTTACAACCTGAGGGTGAATTTGTATGAGATTGCTTCAGATCACCTAACACCTTACTATTGCAACATATGCAAGTGTCCAACAAGCATCAGAGCAGCACAGGTGAAGGAACAGGGTATGCAGCTGGGAGAGGGCAGGGCTGGTGAATGAGGTGGGGCAAGATCTCCAGCTGCAAGGACTTGTTAGGAGTAGTCTCCTGTAAGTTCATCTGGAGAAGAGCAAAGTCTTTCTCATGTTTTGGTTACAGATCCTGGAAGTCCCCTGACTCTGGGCAAGTGCCTGCACCGTGTAGGAGCCCCTGGAGGTACCGCAACACTGCTCTGGTGGCTCACTCTTGGAACCAGGAACAGCTGGCCAGAGGTATCTGATTCAGTGAAAAACATGAGCTGGGTATAGAGAGAAATAACAAAAAGGAAGTCAATTGAAGCAAAAAAATTTACTGTGCGTTTTTTAGGAATCTCTTCACAGTTGTTAGGTCTGAGATGAATTGTGGGCATTAGTCTTACAGTTGGAACTGCCAGCAAGTGAGAGCACCCTGGATATGAGTCTCTTTCTAACAGGGGGTTTTATTTAGCAGAAACTGGAGTGAAAGCACTCAAATCTTCTATGATGCTAGCCATTACTTATCAATAACTTTCAGTCACTGTAGATTGAGATTGGATTTGAATTCCTGATTCATAGGTAAAAAAACCAATATTGTTATCCCCAGCGTCAGAAATTCTTTATGTGATTTTTTTTTTTCCATTTTTAAGTCATTTGTCTAAACAGAGAAGAGAGTTCATCTTGAAATTACAGCACAAGGCAGAAACAAATAATCTGTGCTTGTGTTACTTTAGTCAAGTAATTTAATCTTTCAGTAGTAATCAGGGAGATTATTGGAGGGAAGGTACAAATGCTTAAAATAATATTATTAAAATAATGGTGACATTTGCAAATATTAAATAAAAAGGAGAAGTTACATCAGGAACGTTTTTTGCAGTGAACTAGTGGCACTGTTGTTAGTGGACTGAGCTTTGACAGCCCAGTGCTTTGTGCATGCTTGAATTTAATACTGCATTATTGAAGTAGATTACAATACTGTATTCCAGTTCAAAAATTTCCACACTGTCATTTGCTGTGTCATTACCTAGCACATCTCAAGATCACTGTATGTTATATTTTTATCTACTAAAAATGTGTCCTATGTGGCTCTTGCATAAGACCAACCTCGTCCCTGTCCTTTTCCCTCTCTCGTTCTCTCCCCACCTCTCCTTACCATCACCTGTTTGCCCAAAAACTACATTTGCAACAGAGAGATAAAATCTAACTGTGTTTTTACAATGTGATGGTTATTTACAGTGTCCAGGAAAATAACAGATAGATTCTCTTCCTCACTTTTAATTTGCGTAACAGGTATCGTTATGTCACTGAGTCGTAAAAGAAAAGACAGTGTGATGCAGAGACTGGCATGACTTTTCATATAGACTTCTGTATGCCTTTTCCAGTTTTTTTCAAAGAAAGTTATATTATTGGGGACAGGTTCCTAATTTTTCTTATGCCAGACTCAATTTTCACTAGTTCTCTAGTTCTGAAGCTGGCCAAGTTTTCAGCTCGAATGATTCTTCATTTCCCATAATCACATCTTATTGTAAACCCACTGGCAAGATTTAGTTTTGCTTATATCATTATGTCATCATATCTTATGTCATTGCGTACTTGCATTGGTCATATGGGCTTTGCTGGCACACCAGAAGCGAGACTTGTAGCCACATTGGAAAATACATGTTAGTTGTCCTGTTTGAATTTGTCATGAATACATTTCAAGTTTCAAATCCTTATGCCAGCAACAGTCTCAAAATTTTAAGAAGATCTAGGTTTAGTGAAAACGTTCACAAAGACAGTTTTAATAAACTTCAGCTTCTGCTGGGTTTGGGCTTTTTGAAAATCACCAGTCAGGTTTAAACACTGTAGATAACTCCTCGATAAAAAAGAGCATGTCCCAAAGCCTAGGTTTGAACATGGGGGAAAAAGTCAGAATTGGGTGTAAAATGCAAAACTGAGTTCTATAACCTCTAGTTGGGTATATGATTCAAGTCAAACATATCACGCAACTTTATTTTTATTGTAATCTTCATAGCAAAAGAGGTTCTGATGAAATGTACTTGAGGGAAGTGGGCAGGAGGGGAATGAAAAGGGATAAGAGACACAGTGTAGTGGGGAAATTCAGAAGTTCAGCAGTAAGTCTGGAGAATGAAACTCAGTTTGTCTGTGATGAGAGACGAGGAGGAGAGTCTGAGTAATAGGAATATCAGGTAAGGAAGGCAGCTAGGAGGCAGCAAAGGAACTGGGAACAGGGAAGAGGACTGGGGTGGGGTGGAGGGAGTGAGGTGAGAACCAAGCTTGAGGGCAGGTGTTGGCGACCCCCACCAGGGTCCACGGTTGCTAAAGCACGTTCTCTGCAGAAACGTGCATGGGACGCAGAGCTCTGGAGTCAGTGAGACTC